AATTTGTTAATTTTGAACCATCAGAAGTATCTGAGTTGAAGAAGAGAGTCTCTTGTTTGTGTCTGTTTCCCTGCCTGTCCAGGTGGTGTTCCTGCCTGGAAAAGGTGTTGATTTTAGCTCTGTCTGTATGTCTTTTTGGGAGAAATGGAGGAAGCAGGGCATTGCTGTAGATGCTGCTCATTGTATCATTTTATGGCAGTGAATTGACAAACTGCCAAAAGCCTCTCAGATGAAGAGGACTAGATAGCAGGAGCCCTGCCATGGTTCTGTTCTCTCCTCTGCAGCAGATGTTTCTGGCATTGACTGGATGGTGAGGCACGGCCGGAGCCTGGCGCTCTCCGTGGCTGTGAACGTGGCTCCTGGCAGGCTGTGTTCCCCAAAATACTACAGCAGTGTCCAGGAGATGATCTTCAGCAATGCCACAGCTGACAGGGTGAGTCCTGCCCAACAGTGGGGGAGTGCTGTTGCAAGTGCTTGTTGGGAGCAGTTTTGAAAGGTGTGAGAACAGGTTCCTGTGATACCAACCAGGACAAAATCCCCCAAGTGCCATCTGAACATTCTCCCTTGGCTAGATGCAGTTTTTATGGTGAAATTACACAACTGTTCTGCTTCTTTGAGTTCTGATCTCTGGGGAGGTGAAGATTAAATAATCTTTAACTGCAGAGTAGCTTTCATTTGGAGTAAATTACACTCCTGTTTCCCTAGAGAGTTCTCATTCACAGACCAAGTTTGCAAGAAGTGGAAATTACTCATTTTAGGAGGGAGATTTTAAATCTGGTGTTGAATGAGTAGTTTGGGATAGGAATTTTGTGGGCTTGGTGGGGCCTGCTGCCTTATTTCTTCTGGCTCATGTTTATATTAGGATTTTTTCATCATATTACCTAATACCGTTAACCCAATGTTTTCCTGCTTTGATGCTGCTGTTCTTTTGAAAGATGGGTTTAGCCTTCCACAAAAGCTGATAGACCATGAGTTTGGTTTTAAAGGATGTTGTTGAATTCTGCTGTAGTAATACCAATTCTTGTCTTTATGTTGAAGATCCCCATTGCCGTTAGTGGCATCAGAGGGATGGGCTTTCTCATGAAATACCACATGGAAGGGGGAAGCAACCTGCCTCCCAAACTTTCCAGCCTCTTTATTAAGGTAAGAATTTTCATGTTAATTACCTGGTCTTGTTCTTGTATGATCTGAATCTCTGTTTGACCTAACTCATGGGTGGGTCTGTGAAATCCCTGAAAATCTAGATATTTCTTTTTGAGGCAGAGTGCAGATAGAAGCTTTGAAGCTGTGAAAACAACACTGCCATCCCTGCTCTAACATGGAAAATTGCTTTTGAGCTTTCTGTGCTGAAACCCAAGTCTGATTCTTATAAATGCATTTTTCCTTTGCAGTAGTAAACAGCTGGCAGAGAGGCAGAGAAGAGTGTGAGGAAGCTGTCAGGTTTTAAGATTGGTAAAGGTCAAACAGCCTTTGCTAGAAATGTATCAAATAGCAAAGCTCACCTGACCTGTGAACATTGAAGTCAACATCTTTTTCAGTTCATTTTGATTTAAATATTTTTCTTCAAAATTCCTTTATTGGTTGTTTGTTTCTTTTGGTGTGTGGCTGGGGTTTTCTGGTTTCTTTAGTAGTCTGCCCTCCCCAAACCCCACCACACACCCAAGTATCCTCTTGGTAGACAAGGATAGATAGAGAGGGGTGATGCTGCAGCATGTTACATTTTCAGATTTTTCTTTTCTTTGCAATTTACTTAACAAACGACCAAACATGCCAAGCTGACATGATACAGGCCAACATTCTTCAAAGCAGACTTTTTGTTTGAAATCCGACTTAACTATATTAATATAATAGTATTATGTTAAAATACAAAATATTACACTTGCAACAAAACCTTTATCACTGTATTAATAATGCACTTGACATTCAGAAGTTAGTTTTCATGTTTTAAATGGATTAAGATTAAAATACAAAACTCTAATTCTTTGAATTTTGAAGTGAAGTCCACTGTTAAAATGCACCCAGTATTCCAACCAGAGACTGGCTTGGCTGTTGTTGCTGAGTGAGTGTGTTGTAGAGGTGCTGACAGTATCAGCTTTTCTGCTCTTGGTGGTCATTGTCATTTCCTGAGACAGTTGAGATGAACATGTGACAGTGTCATCAACTACATATTTAGAAATTTTCTATTGAAAAGTTGTCTTGTTTTGAAGGTTTGACTTTCTCTTACACAGTTTAGTCAGACTTAATTGGTAACAAGTGTGTATCTTGTGTACCTGTGAGTTGAAAACGGTTTGCTTTTCTTAGCATAGTTTTAAATGCTTAAATTGGAAAAAAAAATATTAACAACTGCTTTAAATACATGTCCTTGGTATACCTGAATGTATGTGTATCTTTGTCTCCTTCAGTGTCTTCAGAACTCATCCAGTGACATAAAGTTAGTTGCAGAAAAGATGATTTGGTGGGCAAATAAAAGCCATCTTCCCCCACTGGATACTCAGACAATTAAACCAATTCTCAAAGCACTTCTGGACAACACAAAAGACAAAAACACGAGTGTAAGAGCCTACAGTGACCAGGCTATTGTCAACCTTCTGAAGATGAGAGCGGGTGAAGAAGTGCTTGAGGTATGAGACATAAAAAGAACCATAATTGTTGTTAGCAAGGCTGTGTCACTTTGTTCTGCTTTTGTGTGTGTGGTGCCTCAGCCTCAGAATGTGCTGGAAGTCTCTTATGAAATAGACGAAGTGGGACATTCCCATTTTCATTTAGATCTTCAGCAGCATCCTCATGCTAAGCTCTGAAGAAATCAGCAACACCTGTTCTGTACAACCTTATAGTGCAGCATTAACAGAACTGGGGCATTTAACATACCCCCTTAAGCCTTGCCTGTGCTGAGTTCCCTCAGCTGGCACTGATAATTCATTGCTTTGGTCACTCGGTTGATCACAGTGGCACTAGGGAGTATTTAGGATGGACTACTACTTCATGCATCCATTTCCACACCTGTTTTCTAAGTCTGACCTGCTTTTGGATAGTTCCCACGTCTGGAATTGTAAATCCAGGTGAAGACTTTTGGGACGTTGGAAATGTTTCAGTTGATACAGCGCACAAGGCACTTACTGTGATTTAGAACGGTGTGTGCTGAGGAGTTGGTAACTGGTGCTGTCTCCTCTCCACAGTCAATTTCCAAGATCCTGGATGCTGCCAGCCTGGAGCTCCTCAATGAGAGCTGCAGGAGGTCCCTGAGGAAGCTGGCTGCTCAGGCTGACTCCGAGGAACAGATCGATGACACCATCCTGACGTGATAAAGCTCCCGAAGACAGGAAACACTGAACCAGCCGCTGCATCAGCATTTCAACTCAAACACCTATTATAAATGTTTTCATTTTTGAAAATGTTAATTCTGATGGGATTTCATGAAAAGGACTCCCAGAGAGTATTTTAGTATCAAATATACCAGAATAGCCTTAATTAGACCCACACTAGATGAAAATCAAAAATTTGGTCCCCTTTTTGAAACAGATTATGCGCAAGAGACAGACATACTAACCAATACTGGTCAGCTGTGGCCAACTTTGAGATGTGGCTAGAGCACATCAGGCTTAAACTCTGGTGACAACTATTTCCTTCCCAGGGTCTGTGCAAAAACTCCAGTACTGCAGGTATTGTTGGTTTTTCCACACACCCTGGAGGCAGGAATAGAACTCAGTGGAAGTTCAGTTGTATTGTTTCTGTGTACTGCTAACTTGCTGCTTGTGACGGTTCTGAAGACTGAAAATCCCTGTAAAATGGAGTATTTAAAATAGCCTTAGAATTCACAGATGCGAAAGGGGGATTAAATGCAGTCTGTTTAGAGAAGGAACATTTAATAAAGGCTCTGACTTTGATCCTTCTGATGTAAACTGTTCTTTTTACAAATTCATTTGTCAACAAACTTATACTGTGATTTACTTTTCAGACCTGTTTGTTCTAGGGCATACAGTTTGTAGAGTGGACAGTGCTGTGATCTGTGAAAACCTTTTGTAGAACTGAGGCAAGACAGGGTTTAAAGTCAAGCCAGAACTGACATTTAATGAAATTTATAAATAATTACTCCTGTTAATTTCCGAAGTATTTTTGACTACAGACAGCTTTTTAGTTACCCAACTTGTGAAAAGTTCTTTGTATTTATGTCTTCAAAGGCTTCACAAGATACTTGGCATTAAGTTTTTTGGTCAATGACTTGTGCTGCTCCAAGAAAGTATTTTATTTTACCTGGCCACATATATCTCTCTTGAAAAAAAATTAATTTACTAGTACATTTTATGTCACTTGATGGAAATAGTCAAAATCTTGTTGCAGAATACACATTTTTAGAAGGCAAAATGGGCTTTACATTCCATGTAAAGCAGTAGTTAAGTGAGCTGTATCTGTTTTGTGAAACTCACAGAAACTGGTTGCACCTGAGAAGCCAGAGCACTAACATTTGTTATTTCATGTGGGTGGGGTGTGTGTGTGTGTGTGTGATCTTCCTTGCTTGTAACTCTGGATGGCTCAAACCATGATGATGGGAGAATACAACACTACACATCATAAAATTTGAGAGCATGAAGTGGAACCCCATGGGAACACACGTTCTGCTAGAAGCAATTTTCTGATTGTTATGGCAGTAGCTGCAAACACAAGAACATTTTTATCATACTAATGCCTCAAACATCAAGATACAATCATGAGCAGGTACTTGGGAGAGCTGTGGTTTGTTCTGGTCAGAAGTACAAGAATCTGGTAGAAGAATCTTGGTGTTGTGTCAGTTCCCAGCCTGTGGTGTAGCATCCTGACAATAGATTTGCTATAGGAGTTAGTGGAAGGAACTTTGAACATCAGCTGTTTTACCCTGAGATAGGCTCAGCTCCCACTGCACCACTTCCAGCTGATTGTCACACAAGTGTTTATATAGCATTGTAGGGTGAAGATTCCATAGCCTCTCTGTGCCATCTATTTCATTATATGAACTTACCAGACAGAACTTACCTCATGTCTGAAGAAAAAGTTTTCCTTGCTGCTGCTTGAGTCCACTGCTGCTTGTCCTGTTCTCACAGACATTGAAAACAGTTCATTTTTGCAGCAACTGCATTGTCACTTCAGCGTCCTCAACCCTACATGAAATAAATTTAGATTTTCTATGTATTTTCATAGAGATTTCCATGTTTTCTAAACTTACACTGCTGCTCCTTATGTTTGTTTCATTCTGACTCCTCTTTGCCTCGAGATGTCCATTGCTGGCCCAGGTCTCATGGGAAGTTGTTTTGCAAGCCCCCCATAACAAACACAGTTGTTCACCCCAGCACAAGCTCTGGGTGCTGCTTTGTTGCAACACCAGCATGTCATTGGCACATTTAGTTTGTGATCAGCTATGAAGCCAAGCTACAAAATGGCTCTTCAGGTAATTAGCTCTGATTTTGTATTTATGCATTGGACGGATTTCTACAAAACTGCAGCGCTTCCCAGTTGGTCTGATGGAAATTGTTCTATTTCATCCCATTCAGCTGCATTCTGAAGGTGGGTTTTAATTCTGATTTTTGCCTTTCAAAATACTTGCCAACCTGAAGTCATCTTAAAACGATGTATTTTGCACTGAGTTGGTAATACTCAAGAGTGAAAACTCAGCTAAATGCTCCTAAAGATTTGGCAGCTTGGGCCACTGGAATGAGTTTCACCTGTGATAAATTTAGCTGTGCTTTGGGATCACAGGGAGAGCAGTTAAACCATGCAATGCAAAGCCTCTGCCCTGAAACATCTCCAAAATTTGATGCCATTCAAAACCTACTAAGTAGGTGTCAAAAAGCTCAGTGACTGTACTGGAATCACTCTCTCCATTACTGCAGCTAGGAAGGAATGAAAAAATGGCAGGTTTTCGTGAAGAATGGCTGTTAGAGCTCTGGATTATGGGCACCTTGGCTTAGCTATTCTGATTACAACTGGTGCTCCACATAAACATGGGAAAGAAAATTATAGGTAAATGAAGCCTTTTTTATTAACTTGTTCTTTAGAACAAGATCTATTATTTTGATGATTTGAATTTCCAGCTAGGTAGCAGCAAGTGGAAAGATTCATTCATCTTCCCAAACAGCACCCGAATTTCTGCACTGGGTTTAGTTGTTCCTGAGAGGGAGGAGTAAAAGGAAGGAGTTCCTTGCACTTGAGGAGAATATGCTGATTTTTCAGTCACAATGAAACACTCCACTTGGATTTTGACACCTACTTTTTGCTGAACTATTTATACACAGCAGTATAATATATCAGAGACAAAATACCCATAATTTTTGCCACAACATGAGATCTGATAAATTCATTGTGCCAACTTGGAGACTAAAGAATTTTTTTCTCATTTCAAATGTTTTAAAAATACCAGTTGTCTGTAAAAGATAATTTTTCCCTACAACTGATGGTAATAACATCTTTGAACTGTCAAGCTGACAGCTGAATTGTGTGTATTTCAAGAAGATCAAAAAATAATTTATGAGAAAGGTTTAAACTTACAAGGTGCTAAAAATTACAGTGGAAGAGAGACAAATGTGAAAGCATAAAATATTCAAATATTTTGATTTTTTTTTTTTTACTAATCACAGTTCTTACTGTCCATTTTATTTGGTAACATCATGATGCCTCATGCTTTTCATGTGATGAGGTTTCATGAGCTTAAAAATAGAGGTAATAGGAGTCACTGTCATTTTGGGTTTGAGCTGGTGGTTTGTGTGCTGGATTCAAGGGATTTCCCTGCAGCTACAGTGTCCTCAGTTCTCTGGTGGTGCTGGGTTGCATGATGGGCTGCCCCAGTGCTTGTCTGGGGTGGGTGATATTATATATATATATATATATTTATATATATATGTGATGTTTAAAATGCATGAGTTGCAGAATGAATGTGAGCTGAAGGTCACACGAGTGGATTCCAAGATGTGAGGACCTTGATGGGGTGAACTTTGAAAATTATATTACATTTTTGAAGGCTAAGATTAAGAAAGGTTTATAATTAAGTGGAACACCACCTACTAGACCAGGTTGCCTCAGTCCCCACCCAGCCTGGCCTTGGATACATTCAGGGATCCAGAGGCAGCCACAACTTCTCTGGGCAAATTGTGCCAGGGCCTCAGCACCCTCACAGAAAACAATTCCTTCCTAATATAGATATATTTATAATCTGTAACAATCTGAATTCTTTAGTGCTAATATACCTCCTCCCAGCTGAATGACAATGCATGTTAGTAAGACAGGTTTAATTAAATAATTCAACTTTATCTCAGGAGTTCAAGTACCAGTGACGCTGTTTTTCTAGAAAAAATAATCAGAGCAAAAACCCAGCACTTCACTTGTGCCATGTCTCCACTTAGAAGTGGTGATCACCTAAAAGGTAACCATAGTCTTGCAGAATTTGTGTAGTCACTGTCTGTGCAACTCATAACAAAATCATTGAGGCAGCTGGATGACCGGGAGAGTGCTTTTGACGTGCAGATGTGGGCTGGGGCCGGTGCAAGCACAACTGCGGATGTGAGGTCGAGGCCCTTCGTGAGCCACACACAGGCACACCTCTGGAGCAAAAACCCCAGGAACTTAATTTCAGACTGGCCTGACTTGCCAGGCTTGTAACACACATCTGGGCATCTCCTATCACTGCTCTAGGGCTCCTCACCTGCGGCGTGGGCTGCCACGGGAAATGTTCCTGTCCCTACACAAATCGCTCCTTTGGAGCAGAGCTGGGAGTGCTGGGGCTCCCTCACGCCTTGGATGCTTTCCTGGAGGCAGCGTCGCTTTCTGCCGCGTCCTCACACGAGCACCTACGGGAACTGGGGGGGTGAAACACGTGTCCGACGGAGGTCTCTCGCCGGTTCGGCACTGGGGAAGGACAAGGTTCCCGCGGAGGGGAAGCGGGGCGCGGAGGGCGGGGGGATCCCTCACGCTCCCGCCATGGCCGCCAGCGCGCGCCAGCCGCCCCAGCCACCGCCCTCAGCGCGCAGGCGCGGGCGCGCGAGGGCGCGGCCCTTCATCCCGCGCAGCCGCGGCGCGGGGCGGGGCGGGACCGGCGCATGCGCGGCGGCGCAGCTGGCGGCCCCTGGCGGCGGCCCCGCGCATGCGCGGCGGCGGCCCCGCTGTCAGTTCCGGCTGTTTGTCCGGGAAGTGGCTCCGGCCGGAGCCGCCGCCGCCCCCCGCCCCCCCCGCCCGCTCCGCCGCCCGCGGCCGCGCCCCGGCCATGGCCCGGGACTACGACCACCTCTTCAAGCTGCTCATCATCGGCGACAGCGGTGAGCGCGGGCGGCACGGCGCGGGGGCGTGGGTAGGCCGCTGGCGGGGTGGCCGCCCCTCGGGTCGTGAGGGGCCGGAGTGCGGCGGCGGGGCCGGGGCGGCCGGCGCGGGGGAGTCGGGGAGGGGCGGCCTCCTCCGCCCGGGTCACTCACGGCGTTGTGTGCCGGTGCCGCGGCGCGGGGCTGAGCCGGGACCCCGCGCTCTGTGTGAATGGCGGGGCGCGTTCGCTTGGGCTGCGGGAGGTTTTATCTGATAAACCTGCGGAACTGGCTACCACAGGATATTATGGTAAATAGCTTGTCTGGGTTTGGGAACAGGCAGATTAGACACGTAGAAGTCAGGACAGCACCGGCAGTGCTGCCGGCATCAACCTTGGCGAGCGCATGTTTTGACGGCGCCCACTAATCTGTTGCTGGGATGAGGAGGGAATTCCCTTCCCCTGTGACAGGCAGTGAAGGGATCGATGGGAAGGGCTGGCTGCCCTAAGGACTATTGTTTCTAGTGTGGCAGCTCGTACGTTTTAACAGTCATTATTACCTTAATTATTCCTTCAGACTTTTCCTGTGTTTCAGCCTGAAGTCTCAATTCTAGAGTTCCTTTTTTTTTTTCAAATAAATCCTGGAAGAGCTGATAGCTTTGTATATTTCTCTTTACAGTATAAGATGCAAATACCTAAAAACAGGAGATAAAGGCGTAGTTTGACTTTTTTTGAAAATAGACCTTTAAATACTTCTGCAGCAGCCTCAAGAAACTTCTGGAGGGCTGAGCGTGTGAATCGAGCCAGTGTCTGGTGCTTTGGTCTGGGAACATAGGGATTGGGACTGGGAAGATTGCTGCCGTCGATGCAGCTCGATGTTGGTAGCACTCCAGCAGCTTATAGTTGAATTTCCATAAACTGGAGAAGGGTGCATCCACCCTCTTCTTTTAACAGAGGTGTGGTCCGTGGGGCGGCAGGTCCCGGCATGCAGCGAGGCACAGCTCTTGGATGAAAGAGTAATGTTGCACGATCTTGGCAGTTGTCACCTTCAGAAGCTTTCGTTTCATGTAGAAAATGTTTTATTCTACGCTAAACTGTGTCTGCGTGAAGGGCTCTAAGGAGGGAGACAGGACAACAGCTTCAGAGCAGCTTAAACCCCAGGCAGTTCTGGGAGTCTGTGGATTATTACAACCAAATGCTGTATTCTGAGTAGAGCAGTAACTCTGCTGCTTACTGATGAGTTCCAAAACTGTTCAGGCAAGATAAACAGGATGGTGAAAACTCTGAGGAAGACTTCTCATTTTAAACAATTAAATAAATTTTCTTAGCTCAGTCTTGAGCAAAATGCCTATAGTGTATCCAGTGAAAGGAGTGTTGTGAGAATTGTCAGCCTGCCTGTGGTTTACTGCTGTAATTAAATCTCACTATGTAGTTTGACTATTGATTTTTCTTTGGTTTTGTTTTTGCTAACCTCAACAGGAAGGCTTTTTCTCTGTTTCACAAAACAGTTTGCTATCCTTGTTTATTGACATTTTTTTCCCTGCAATAGGAAGTGGACTGTTACTGGATAGGATACTTCTGTCTCGTCTGCTTTCCCCGTATGCAAATCTGTCAAGAGGGTAGTAGGTTTGTGTGTTTTTAGAACAGGTCATCTTCAAAAGCTGCTGGTGATTTCAGCTGTGCCAGATATTTAAAAATAATACAGATGATCTGAGCTTTGCTTCTGCTTCTTTAATTCATTCTACCGTTCAGTAAGATATGGGTTTTAGAATCTTGTCTGGCACTGAAATTTGTTTTTAATTTTAACTGTGCAAAGTCAATAGGCCTTTTTTTTTGGTTTTGTTTCATTTTACTGTCTTCAACAAACTGAGGGCTCTGCGAGTCTTTTCCTCAGATCTTCAAACAGCTCTGTGTGGGAAGTGTGGGGTCACCAAGAGTGTGGTTTCTCTACGCGTGAACAGTGTGGGTCAGGCAGTGTTTGTTTAGTGAGATCATTGTCACTGGGAGCACGGAGAACTTCGGAGTTCGGGAGGTTTCTTCTCTCTGGAAGCTGCCAGCGTGCTGGGAGCTGTGCAGCTTGTGCAGTGGAGGGCAGTGTGACAGAGCAGTGTCATGTGCAGCTCTGCAGCATCGCCCAGGGCTGGCTGAGCTCGGAGATGCTGCTGTGGTGTGACAGGTCCGTGGGTTCCGGCACCTTCTTGCCTTTCACTGAGCTGAAGGCCGAGGCTGCTTGGCCAAGAAACAAAGCACTTTCTGCTGAAACATTCTTGTTTTCTCTTAGTTTCTTATTTTTTTCTTAGTTGACCTGTATTTGCAGAGCATTAACTCTTGCTAAATAGCCAGTCCTCTGTTAAAGTAAAGGAACTGTTCTGCTACCTTTTTTGAGCTCAGAGGTATTGATTATATGAATGCTGTATCTTTGTATTTTTTAGTTCCTTTCCTCTTTTCCTCCTTAGCTTGGTAGCAGTGAGAAAGGAGCATGGCTTCTCCAGATGGCTGATGATTTGTGAACTCTTTGCAAATAAGATCTGGCTTACTGTAATCATGCAGATTTTTAGGTTGGTTTTTATTTTTTGTTGGTAGCTGTTGTCACATGCCAGCAGCTGAGAACTGGAGTTCTGCATTGCCTTTGCATAGGTCTTCTGTTAAGAAGAACTTGCAAGTTATACATCATCAGAATTATTACCTTGAATAACTTCTACCTTGAATTTCCTATTCATGCCATAGCAGACTTATTTTGGGGAGGAAGGGTCATTAATAGCAAAGATGTTATGCAGACATAACAACATGGAGGCATTTGGATACCCAGATTCCCTTGGGTGGGTGTGCAGGAATGAGTTTCTTGCAGTTCTTGTCTGTAGCACTGTGAAAAATGCTTCCCTGCAACAGGGTGTGATCAGGGTGCAAACCATCATGAAGGGCTGCTCAGAGCATTTAGAGGAATGTTTCGTGGAACATTTCGGCAACAGGGACAGCATCAGAAAGGTGTGTGTCCTTCGTGTTAGTTGTGGAACAAGGCTGTTTTTGGATGGCAATGCAGGACAGTGATCCCCAATTCCTGTTTGGTTGAGGCTTCTTTTAGACTGTGGCCATGCTAATGTGAGCTCTGTAGTACCGAGCCCTGGTGTGATTGTCAGAGCAGCCCAGATTCCACACAGAGCGGTAGGCAGTGGTGTCACTGACGTCACCGTGATGTGCAAGTGGAATTCAACAGAGTGCTGAATTCAGAGCAGTGTTCTGAGCACTTGTTAATTCACAGGACATGCTCAGCTTTGACTCTTTCCCTAGCAGATATAAGCCTACTGATTATAAACTTGCTTTTAGTTGTTATTCTTCTCTGACCTCTTGAACTGCCCACAGTTCAGAAGCTGCTGTTGGAGGCATTGCTGAGGGCTGAAGGCGGGAGGGCACACGTCCCCCCTCCCTGCGCTGCTGCCAGAAGCATCCTGAGTCTTGGGATGACTGTGCTTGGTCAAATCTCCAAGGAGAGGGTGGAGATGAGCAGTCAAAAGTGGATGGTACTAAATGATGTGCTAATTTTTATGCAATGGATGAGTAAAACACTGCTATGTTCCCTGACCCCCAGGATGACTGTATTGAAAGATTTGCTGTGTTTGTTTGTCGTAGGTGTGGGCAAGAGCAGTTTGCTGTTGCGTTTTGCAGATAATACCTTCTCAGGTGAGTGGTTTGTTTCCTTCAGTAAGTGAAATGCTCTAGGTTTGCTCCAGTGCTGCTGGTTTGTAAGGAATCTGTGTTTGCCCACTGATAGCTCTGCTGGGAATACATCATGCTTTTAACTTTGCATCTCTTGGTATAAGCCTAAGGGCCATCCTGTCTGATCTTCACTGGCAGCTGAAAGTCCCTGAGTATTGAAATATTGAGGTGGTTCCAGAAACAGCTTAGGTGGTTTAGGTTATGCTGTACTCTCTGCAGACTTCCTATTAGCCATTTGGGATTTAGATTGATTGAGTGTTGTGGTAAACCACTTACATTTGTGATATTACCAATTTATTGGGAGGAAACTCTTAGAACAGACTGTATTCAAAGTAAGTGTCTGCACAAGCATTTAAAGCAAAGTGTTGTCTCAAAACTTTCACAAGTGAAATGCTCTCATAGTTACTGTCTATTTTTTGGATGTTTGCATACTCTTGATCACTGGGATAGAAAAATAGTAATTTATTTTGTAACACTGAGATTTTAGTTTTAAAGGTGACATGGGAGAAGTGGTTTTATGGCTAGCAAGAAGCTGTTAGCTACAGATAAAAATATGCAGATCAGCATTTTATAAAGCATTTTAAACAGTAAGCAGATATGGGGAACCTTGTTCTCCTGTCCTGAGAGCTGCTGCCAAGTAGTGTTCAAGAAGTGTGCTTTGGACATCCAAAGTAAACAAGACTTAGGTTCTCACTTACCCACGCTCTCCCTGCAGGCAGCTACATTACCACCATTGGAGTGGATTTTAAAATCCGGACAGTTGAGATCAATGGAGAGAAGGTGAAACTCCAGATCTGGGACACAGCTGGCCAGGAACGCTTCCGGACTATTACATCAACGTGAGTAACACCAGGCTTTTTGCTGTGTACCTGTGGGTCTGGGTTTCCCC